AGGACTGCCTGTCTAGGGAATGGTGTTGCTCACGGTGGGCTGGGCCCTTCTTCATCGATTAGCAATCAACAGACATGTCCATGGGTCAATTTGATCTAGGTAATTCCTCCTTGTGCCTTTCCTCTCAGGAGGCTTCTAACACTAAACCTAACCAAGACAGAGTGCCCAGAGTCCAAGGAAGGGTACTTCCTTAGTGGAGGGTCATAAGTGACATGATCCTGTAGCAAGTTCTCAAGGTGACTCTGTCCAGGGCAACCAAAGCCCTGATTGTTGGTTAAATTCCTTCCTCAGTCAGCACTGAAGGGCACCCAGCTCTGTAGGTTCAGCTGTCAAGGGTAGCCTGAGATGGGAAGACTTAACCTAAACATAAGAGGCATCACCCCACTGCTCGAGGTCTGGACTGCATAAACGGAAACAGTAAGCTGGGTGCCAGCATTTATCTTCCCGGCTCCCTGTCTACAGATGTGTGAACAGCTGCCTCCCAAGCCTGCCGTCATAACTTCACTGCTGTGATGGACTGTAAGCCAAACCTTCCTTCAGTTAGGTATTTGTCAGAGGTGAGAAAACAGTTAACCTGCCTTCTGCCTTTAAGAGATTTGGGTCTCAGTGATTGTGGTGGTTTGTATATGCTTGGCTCAGGGAGTGGCACTATTAGGAGGTACGACCTTGTTGTAGTAGGTGTGTCACTGTGGGTGTGGGCTTTAAGACTCTCATCCTAGCTGCCTAGAAGTGGGTATTCTGCTAGCACCCTTCAGATGAAGATGTAGAACTCTCAGCTCCTCCTGCACCATGCCTGCCTGGATGCCGCCATGCTCTTGCCTTGATGATAATGGACTGAACCTCTGAACCTGTAAGCCAGCCCCAATGGAACATTGTCTTTATGAGACTTGCACTGGTCATGGTGTCTGCTCACAGCAGTAAACCCTAACATCACAAAGTGGGGCCATGAGCTGAGCCATAACACTCCCAAGCCTGTCCACATGACCACAGCTCTCTGGAGTTTTCGATGCTCTTTGGGGTGCCCTGCACACAGGGCTTTTGCACTGCTCCTCGGCCTGTACAGAGAATGCTTTGATCCTTATGCATGGGTCCTCCCTCAGCAGATGTCCCCAAAGGTCCTCTCCTCAGAGAGATCTGCCCTGAGCAGCCTCCCATGGGAAGTGGGGGGAATACATGTAGGAGGGGGTGGGTGTGCAAGTTAGTGTTTATGTGGGTGCACATGTGTGCAGAGGTCAGAGGTCAACCGCAGAGGTTGTTCCTCAGGCACTGTCCACCTTGTGTTATGAGACAAAGTCCCTAAGGTGACCTGGAGCTTTCTAATTTAGCTATCTGGGGGAAATCTAGAGATATCTCCTGTCTCCACCTTCCTAACAATGGCATTGCAGGAGCATGCAACTTTGCACAACATTTTATGTGGCTCTGGGAATTGAACTCAGGTCCTCAGGCTTGTGTGGAGTCTCCCTGACCCCATGGCCACACTTCTAGAAGCCTCCATGACTGTTAGCATAGTATCTATTGTGACCTTCATCAAGACTGTCCCCTGTGACCTCAGGGTATGTGTCTCTTATATCCTTGCCTGTCTGTTCTGTATGATGTGTGTCTCCCTTCCTCACCACCTGACCAGAATCAAGCACAGTGAGGCCGTTAGCAAATGCTTAGAGGCTGGGTGTCTTAAGTTAGGGTTTTACTGCTGTGAACGGACACCAGGACCAAGGCAGCTCTTATAAAGGACAGCATTTAACTGGGGCCGGCTTACAGGTTCAGAGGTTCAGTCCATTATCATCAAGGCGGAACATGGCAGCATCCAGGCAGACATGGTGCAGGAGGAGCTGAGAGTTCTACATCTTCATCTGAAGGCTGCTAGCAAAATATTGGCTTCCAGGCAGCTAGGAGTGTCTTAAAGCTCATGCCCACAGTGACACACTTCCTCCAACAAGGTCACATCTACTCCAACAGGGCCACAACATTCCACTCCCTTGCCCCCATAGGCTTGTTCAAACACATGAGTCTATGGGGACCGTACTTTAACACAATGCAAAATACATTTAGTCCAACTTCCAAAGTCCCCATAGTCTATAGCAGTCTCAACAGTGTTAAAAGTCTAAAGTTCACAGTCTCTTCTGAGATCCATCCAATCACTGAACTGTAATCCCCAAAGCAAGACAGGAAACCAGCTGGGCACACTCCAAACTCTGCTTCTCCAAGGCTGATGTCAAAGCAGTCTTCAGATCTCCACTCTTTTTTCATCTTTGTTGACTGCAACAAACTTCTTTCTCCAGAGATGGTTCCATTCCCTGTCAGCAGCTTTCCTCAGCAGGTATCCCGTGGCTCTGCAATCTCTAACATCTTGGGGTCTCCAAGGCAACTTCAATGTTACAGCTTCTTGTTTCAGTGTCTGAGATCCACACATGATCTTCTGGGCTCCTCCAAAGGGTTTGGGTCACTTCTCCAGCTCTGCCCTCTGTAGCACGCTAAGCTCAGGTTGATCCACTCCACTGCTGCTGCTGTTCTTGGAGATCATCCCATGGTACTGGCATCTCCAACACACTGGGGTCTTCTGCTGCAACTAGGCTTCACCAATAGCCTCTCATAGGATCTCTTCATGGTGCCAAGCCTCAACTCCTTTGCATGACCCCTTCAGCCATCAACTGCAACTCAGGCTGCACCTTCACCAATGGCCTTCCATGGTCTCTCACAGTGCCGAGCCTCAGCTGCTCTTCACGACCCCTCATGTCTTCAGAACCAGTACCACCTGGGTGACTCTCACACTTTATCAAGTACAGCTGCAGCACGAGGTACAACCTTGGCTATCCCTGGAACACAGCTTCTTTGTGCTCTCAGAAAACACTTCCTAGAAGATTTCACCTCAGTGATGCTGGTCTCTTCCTCCTCCTCCTCCTCCTCCTCCTCTTCTTCTTCTTCTTCTTCTTCTTCTTCTTCTTCTTCTTTTGGTTTTTCGAGACAGGGTTTCTCTGTGTAGCCCTGGCTGTCCTGGAACTCACTCTGTAGACCAGGCTGGCCTCGAACTCAGAAATCTGCCTGCCTCTGCCTCCCAAGTGCTGGGAATAAAGGCGTGTGCCGCCACTGCCCGGCTAATGGTCTCTTTCTAATGACCACTAGTTTCTTAGCTCCAGCATCAGTTGTTCCAGTAGTCTCCTTCTCCTCTTGACTCTAAAGCCAGAGACACATGGCCGAAGCTGCAGAGTTCTGCGGCTTGCTGGGGCTGGAACATGGTCCCTGTGTTCTATTACATCATCACCAGCTTTCTGTTTTCCAGCTCCTTCACTGCCTAAGCTTTGCTGTCCTGGATCTTGCTCTGTAGATTGACCTTGAACTCAGAGATCTGTCTGTCTCCTAGGATTACAGGTGTGTGCCACACCATGCCTGGAACTTCACCTAGAACTTGCTCTGTCTCAGGCTGGTCTTGAACTCAAAGATCTGCTTGCCTGTATCTCCTGGGATTAAAGGTGTATACCACCATGTCTGGATATAAACTTAGCTGGGTAGGATCTTGCCCCAAAGTCCCACTTCCTTAACCTGTTAAGGATTCGGCTCCATTTCACTTCCTGGTGCCCCTTTAATACTCGAACCACATATTTTATATTTTTCCTTTCTCAGCTTGCTACAGTTGTTTAAAATGCTCTTCATGAGACTTAACCAGAGAACAAAGTCTATGATGGGCGTTTCTGAGACTTCCTCTGTCAATGTGATTAATCTGAGTCTCTTCACCTCAGCCTCAGGCAGACTCTGCAGACAAGGGCAAAAAGTAGCCACATTCTTCACCAAAATGCTACAAAAATCGGTCTCTATGCCATATACTGAAGTTCTCCACTAAAACTTTTTGGGTTACTCCCTGAACAGAGCTTAAACAAACCATAACAAGGGGCAGGGCATCAGGCCACACCCAGCAGCCCACAGCTTTGCTTACTCTTATTCCGAATTGATACCTAGATGCTTGCCAAAGCAGGAGCAGGGGTTGCCTGGGGTGCAGGGATCTTTCTTCTTAGCCACCCATTCTGTTCCTCACACAAAGGATTCTACTGTCCCAGGACCTGGAAAAGGGGGGCAGGGAGAAGATCCCAGCCCACCAGAAGACCTACCCACCCAGGAGCAAGGACACCTGGCAGTGGCCTGTTATCAGCTTATCGTGAACGCAGGCCAGGTCGTTAACAGACCAACTCTGTGCTTGAGCAGGAGTGGAATACTATGCAGCGGTGGAAAAGCACACATGAAAACTCTAAGCAACATGAGTGGACCTCCCACAAGCTTCAGCAGGCAAGAGAAGCTTGGCTACAAGAGTCTGCCTGTACAGGATCTGGTGGAGGCCTGGCCAAGCCTAGGAAGGAGGTGGAGGCAGGGCAGAGGCCAGTGTTTTCTGCAACCACTGGAGGTGGCTGGCATCGGCTGCGTGATGCCTAAGGTCTGGAAGGAGGGTGTGTTCTCTCTAATAAACATCACCCAGCTCTGTGCCCTTGGGGTCCTCTGCACAGGATGAGTAATCTAACCTCCGTATTTATGTTTAAGTTTTGAAACGGGCCAAGGACCAGGGCTGATAGCACAAGCCAGCCTACTACTCAGGGAGCTGAGACAGGAGCGACTGGAAGCACAGGTCCGTCTGGGTTACAGAGTGAGTTCCAGGCTAGACTTAGGGAGATCCGGTGTCAGAAATTTAAACAAGTAAAAAGAAAAAGAAAACGAGGGCTGGAGATGTGGGTCAGAGGTGGAGCGTGCCTCAGAGCCCTGCGAGGAATTCCCAGTATCGAAAGAGGAGTGAGGCTCTTGGTGCTAAATCTAGAAGGCTCTCAGAGGAGCACGTGACAGGATGGGTACTCGGAGGGCAGAGGCCAGAGGGAAGCTCTAGGGACCTTCTTCCCCTGCAGGTGTGCCGGTGCTTCCGCTTCCGCGTCACGTGTCACCTGGCAACCGTCTCCCAGCAACCGGACTACACATAAGGACGCAGAGTCTAGGGCAGGTTTGGGTTTGCGGAGACCACAGGAGCCATGGCCCAGAAACTGCTCAGCAACGCGGCCGCAGAGCGCATGAACTTTGTGGCCCAGGACGAGATCTGGTAAGGCCCGCTGGGCTGGGCCCCTCACCTACCGCGTACACACCGTGGTGGCCTCAGTTTCCCCACCAAGACCAGAAGACGGCCGGCCTCTGGGAGTAACAGGTGTTCTCTAAGGATAATCGGGGTCAACGTTAGGGACACAGGGATACCTCAGTCTTGCCACCCTTCCCTCCTGCCCACGGCGGAGACTGGAAGAATTCTAATAGGGAATTTAAAAAAGAAGAAACAAAATTAAAACACTAAATTTTGACAGCCTTGAAGGAGAGACGGTTTGCCCTTTCTTGGTTTTCCCTGATTCTTTTAAATGAGAAGAAAGTTTAATTTTAAAAGATCCAGGACGGGCGGGTGGTGGTGGCGCACGCCTTTAATCCCAGCACTTGGGAGGCAGAGGCAGGTGGATTTCTGAGTTCGAGGCCAGCCTGGTCTACAGTGTGAGTTCCAGGACAGCCAGGGCTACACAGAGAAACCCTGCCTCGAAAAACAAAAACAAACAAACAAAAAAATCCAGGACTGCATGTGGTGTCGCAAGCCTAGGGCAGTCTAGGGCAGTAGCACACGGGTTTGGGTTTGCTGAGACCCGGGAAGTCATGGCGCAGAAACAGCTGCAGAGACAGGTGGGCCCCTGTGTGTTCAAGGCCAGAGTAGTCTACACAGGGAGACCTGTCTCAAACAGCAACAGCAGCAACAACAAAGAATCCATTCCCTGAAAGACTTGTCTTCATCAGGCATGTGTAATGGATATTTTTGAGTGCTAAATAATATTCCACTATTTGGCATTTTAACCACTATAGGAAGTCTAACGTAAACCTTAGATGCAAGAAACATTTGTCCCTCCCTCTCCTCCATTCCCTTCCTTCCTCCCTCTCTCCCTCCCTTCCCTTCTCTTACTCCCTCTGTCAGCACTGGGTATGAATCTGCATTCTCAAGAACGCTGGGCGAGTTCTCTGACACTGAGCTGCTCTCCGGCTTTATCTTGCTTTTAATCTCAAGTCACCCAGGCTGGCCTAAACTGACTCCAGGACAGCTCAGGCTGGCCTTGAACTCACCACCCTCCTGCTGCAGCCTCCTGATAGCTGGGATGACAGGCTCCTGGCTCACCTCTTCACTTAAGGTCCCTAGTAACCATCTCTGTGACTTTTATCGTCTTTTTTGACACCTGTGTGGGTGGCTGAGACTGATGAAGAGCCAGCTTTATATTGGAACTGCCATGTTAGGTTTGTTTTTATAGGAAACTGTGTATAATTCTCATAAGTAAAAAAGTGTCATTTCCCAGAAGCTGCACAATCTCAGTTTTAAGTGTTTATTACCACCCATGAACCCCGCCCCAGGAAAAAACATTACCTTCCCCAGTCCACCACACCAACTCCTACATATCCTTCAAGACCCCAATCAAATGGCCCCTCCTCTATGAACTGGCCCTCTTGAGCCTTCTGACTCTGATTTCCAGTACCTAACATGGTTCCTGAGCATTGAAAGTGAACATGGTCAAACCTTGGGTTCGCTAGAAATGAAAAATTGACGAACTTCAAAGATTAAGCATCATGAAAATTAATGTCAGTTGGCTGTTTTTACTTCTGTTTTGATATGGCTATAGGGAAATTGTACAGCCACTTGTGGTTCCTGTTTGAATTCACATTGGCTACGTGTCTGTGAGGATTAGACTCTGGGACTGGAGGGATGGCTCGGCAGGTGGAGGTGTTCACAGCAAGAGCTCATGGTCTGAGATCAAACCCCGGAACCTGGGAAAGCTGAGCTGTCTAGTCTTCTGGCCTGCACACGCACACACACACACACTCTGGCACAGAACGTACACAGGCACACTCGGAAACAGACTCTAGAGATGGGAGGGGCTCAGCCTGGAAAGCATTTGCACACAAGGATGAAGACTTGAGTCTGACTCCAGAGCCCATGTAGAAAGCCTGGCGAGTGGTGAGCACTTACAATCCCAGGGCTTGGGAGGAAACAGGCAAGTCCCTGAAACTTTCTGGTTGACCAGTATAGCCTGATCAGTGATCCCATGTCCTCCCGAGAGATCCTATCTCCAAAACAAACTGGATGGCTTCTGAAGAATGACAGTTGTGCTGGCTAGTTTTATGTCAACTTGGCACAAGCTTGAGTCACTGGAGAGGAGAAATGCCTCAATAAGACCAGGCTGCAGGCAAACCTACAGAGCATGTTCTTAGTGACTGACAGCAGAGGGCCCAGCCCATTGTGAGTGGTGCCCTCATCTGGTGGTCCTGGGTTTTAAAAAAAACAGGTTAAGCAAACCGTGGGGGAGGAAGCCAGTGAGTAGCATCTCTCTATGGTCTCCGAATCAGCTCCTGCCTCCAGGTTCCTGCCCTGTTTGATTCCTGTCCTGACTTCCTTCAGTGATGAACAGTGGTGTGGAAGTGTAAGCCCAGAACATCCTTTCCTCCCCGACTTGATTGTTGGTTATGGTGCTGCATCACAGCGATAGAAACCCTAAGACAATACCCAAGGTTGACCTCTGACCTTCACACAGACCTGCACATGGGGACACAGACACAGACACACACACACACACACACACACACACACACACAGAGAGAGAGAGAGAGAGAGAGAGAGAGAGAGAGGAATAGACTTTGTTTTCCAAGCTCAGAACCCAGGACATATAGCTTGAAACTGGAAAAATCTTCAGAGATGGGGGAGGGGGTGCAGATTCTGATTCCCCACTGGAGCTTGAAGGATCAAGTTGAACTTCATGTTTATAGAACATCGCCTCACCAGCTAGCACCCCTCAGCCTAGCTCATGGGTAGATTGAAGTGGGTAGAGCATCCAGGGGCATCATTTAAAGAAGTTCACACTTGCTGACCTTACCCTTGCCGGGACCCAAGGCCAAGTGTCTTTTTAAACTCCCTGCCCCACACGCCATGAGTACTTCTCTGCCTCCCGATATCCTTCCTCTCTGGATGCAGAACAAGAGAGCTCACATCCTGACGCCCCTCTAGCAGGCAGTCCCAGGCCCACTCGATGCCCACACCATGCCCCCTGTACCATCTCTTCCTACCACTGCCTCCTCTCTTGCTTTGGCCAGCGTCTCCTCATAAGTTAAGAGAGTCTCAGACGAGGGCATCAAACTCTCTTTTGCTCCAGCCCCACCCACACGCCCTGCAGACTCGCTAGCCAGTTAGCGTGCAGGACACACAGGCGAGCGGTTCTCCATGCTCTCGGGAGTTTACACGGGGCCTTTCTGAGGGTGCCGCCTCCTACTAACTGCTTCTCTGTCTCAGGAAATACCGTCTGAAGACCGAATCGGAAGCCCGGCAGAACTGGCCAGCAAAATGGGGGTATTTGACAACCTCCATGAAAGAGGTAATCAAGAGTTCACCGGGAGCCTCCTTCCCTCCCGTCTCCAGACTGTAACCAGTCATGTCAGGAGATAAATGGTTACCATCAGACTATCAACAGGGATGAACTGAGAGAAGCTGAGGAGATGACTTTGTGGTGAGAGGCATGCAACGAGACATTGTCTTCTTCTATCATCTGTGTGTGCAGGCACAGGGACACACACACGTACACATAAGCACGTGCACACATGGACACAAGCACACATGGACACACACATGCACACACACTGCACACATGAGCACGCACACATAAGCACATGTACACATGGACACATGCACACATAAGCACATGCATACACACGCACTGCACACACAAGCATGCACACATCCACATGCACACATAAGCACATGCACATATGTACACACACTGCACACATGCATGCTCACACACATGGGTGCACACATGCAGTGCACACACACAGTACACACCCACATGCACACATGGACACACATGCACACACAGTACACACACACACACACATGAACACATAAGCACATGCACATATAGACACACACAGACATACACACACATGGTGCACATATGTACACTGCACACAAGAGCGCACACACACATGCACACATGCCTACTTGTACACATGGACACACATGCACACGCAGTGCACACACAGAGGGTGCACACATGCACAGTGCACACACACAGTATTAAGTAGCTTTGTCTCTGCTCCCCTAAATCCTAAGGATCCTTCCTTTGAGGAGTCACAGAGCACCCTCAAGGTGCGAGGTGTGTGCCAGACACATCCTCTGAACCAGCTCTGTGGCTTTCACAATGGCCAGGTGCACGGGGCTGCCACTGCATGTCCATCTTTAATAAAAACACCACTGAGTACAAAGAACAATGACCGGCCACAGGACTAGCAGAGGGAGGATGAGGAGCCAGCCGACCTCAGTCTCACTTTGAGACAGGCTGACTGCTTTCCTTCTGTGACATGAGGTGGAACTCTCACCTAACTGACTGAGGGCAGAGGTGGGACAAAGGTATGGGGGACCCTCTGCCAGCCCAGAGGCAAAGGGACCCGGAAGGAGTAACAGAGACAGGGTCCACCCTCCCAGGTGTTCCCTAAAGCGTGGGTCACACATCCAGATGTCTACTAGGGGATAGACAGATGACAGAAGCAGAAGGGGCAAGCATCACAAATAGGGAATGGACAGAGAGACGCCTTAGGGAGAATGCTTTCCAGTTGTCCGGGAGTTCCAGTATTTCCACAAAGCCCACTTCTAGAGCGAGCAGGTCTTGTTTATAAAAACCACTATCTAGACACTCATAATACCTACAGGGCTTCCAGGGGTAGCCTGTTTGTGACATAACTACCTCTAGCCAGACACCAATCACATGTAGGGAAACCGTGACCAGAGCTGCAAAGTTCCAAATATTGTAACTCACAGTGGTGGGAGCCCCACCCGCAGCTCACCCAAGGCACGACTTTGAAATTATGCCATTTGTAATGAGGTTTTTTAAATTCTTAGACAGTTATACGGTTTGAAATTCAATGCACAAAGTAAGGGCCTTAATAATGTACTGTTCGCAAGTGATCTGATATTAATATTCCTCGTGTGTAATTAAGCTGGGTTTCCAGGGAGTTTTAAATGGCTTTAAATTATCCCAGAGGGCGGGGCACTCCTTTCTGGTTGGAAAGCTGGGTCTTGGAACTGGCACGGACATTTCTTAGTTTGAATTCTTGACCAGGGAACTCTTCTCTGGTCCCATGGTAGGAATACTGATTCCTGGGCCGCAAGTCTAGGAGGACCTCACGAAGGGCTCCTCGGGGCTAGCTTAACAGCTCAGATCCCACTTCCACCACCTTCTGCTTGTGCTGGGACCAGTAACACCTCTTCTTGGAGCCTCACTGGTACCATCTGTCACGTGTGGCCTCTGGGGTGAATGAACAGCCCATGTCCTAGCCTTGGCCTGAGGTTCTGATCTCTGGTGTTCTCTTTCAGCTGCTTGAGGGTGAAGAAGAACCAGAAGCCCCAAAGCCCAAGGTTGAGCTTCCCAGCCACTTCCGAGTCCGTCCAGTGAGCCCCATGGATAAATACATTAAGGTTGGCAAAACCTTTTTTTACACCGCTTTCTTAGAGAAAAGTAAGTCCCACTGTGAAATGTGGTCAGTCCAACAGCCGGAGATGAGGGCATGGCTGTGCTGGGAAGGTACATGAGACCCAGAAGGAATAAGTCTGGGAACCCTATTGGTAAGGCACCTTTAAGCAAATATGGGTCATGTGCACGTGTACGCACTTGCGAGTGTGCTTGAACACACACATGCACACACGCACACCTGCACATAGAAACAAAAACATGCATGCAAACACATGTATGTATAAATGTGCATACACTATGCATGTGCACATATAAACACACACAGGCACACACATGTCTATACAAACATTCACACACATATGTACATACACATACACACACACACACACACACTACAAGACCAGGAAATCAGGTGAGTGTCAGATTTACATTTCGATCTGAACCCGAGTTCTGCAGTACTGTTAAGCTTCCTTAGTCAACAGAAAAGTCAGGCAATGCACAGGGCAGGCAGTGTTCCAATAGGTAGCAAGAGCCAGGGGCAGGCCCCTCCATGGGTGGACTTCCCTGATTGAAGTCTCTGGGACTCACTAGCCAGCCAGTCTGTCTCAACCAGTGAGCCATACATTCAGTGAGACAAGGTAGGGAACCACTGGGGAGGACACACAGTATGCCAGCTAGTTTTCTATCGACTTGACACAAGCCAGGGTCACTTGAGAAGGGGGACTCTCAATGGAGAAAATTCTTCCATAGGATTTGCTAGTGGACAAGTCTGAGTGTATTTTCTAAATTACGGATTGATGTGGAAGGGCCCCGCCCATTGTGAGGGTGGTGCTACCTGTAGGCATGTGGTCCTGGGCTGTCTTTAGAAAGCAGGCTAAGCAAGCCATGAGCAGCAGGCCAGTGAGCAGGACCCCTCCCGTGGCCGCTGCATCAGCCCCCGCCTCCAGGCCCCTCTCCTGACCTCCCTAGATGACGGGCTACACACCGTAAGATGAAATGCACCCTTTCCTTCCCACCTTGTCTTTGGTCATGATGTCTTATTACGGGAATAGAAACCCCAACTGAGACATTTGTCCTTTTAGTTAGCTCCGTCAAGTTGACACAGCCTACAGTCGTCTGAGAAGAGAGCCCCTCAACTAATGAGCTGCTTGATCCCATCAGCCTATGGACATACGTGGGGGGTTTCCTTGATTGTCAATTGACGTTAGAGGCTCAGTCCACTGCGGGCAACACCATCCCTAGGCAAGTGGCCCTGGGCTTTATAACACAGCCATCTAAACACAGCCCTGTGAGAGAGCTAGGGAATGAGCTGATAAGCAACATCCCTCCTCGGTTTCTACCTCAGCATCCTGCCCTGACTTGCTCTAGTGATGAGCTGTGACTTACAAGTATTAGTCAAATGGACCCTTTCTTCCCCAGGTTGCTTTTGGTCAATGTGTTACCATAGAAACAGAAAAGAAACTTAATGAATACCCAAAAGCCAAACTCTACACACACACATGCACACACACACAGATATACACATGTACACACATATACATG